GCGAATGGGATACCGACTACAGCACCATTTATGTATCCCATGTATATAGCCACATTTAAACTCATGCTCCCAGCCAAACGGGTCAAACAAACGACGCCCGTTATGGCTCAAGACTGCCCATATCCAGCACCTATAAAAGGACGCCCATGCCGAAACTGCACTGGATTTCTGCCGTATTCTTTGAGCACAATCATTGAACAACCGAATATACATATATCGAGTGACAATCCTCGATTCACAGGTTATCAGCCGTACGCTCTCCCACGGAGCCTACGAGCGGGTAGCCGCGGACCTTATAGATGGCTGAAGAAGACAGCAGTGATAACGCATTCTCCTTTGCTGGACATGCCGCCGCACCAGCTGACGGCACGCAGTCAAATTCTTCACAGAGTATCGATACTGGTGGAAGCGAAACCTCAGAACTGAGACCGAGCTTACCCGGACGATCTCTGGTTGCTCCGAGGGGGAGACAAGTACCGACAATGCAAGCAATTGAAGATAGGGACAGTACACCTGGAAAAAGAAGATCATCTGCCCGACAATTGTCGCCTCCGACGACTCCAAGGACTAAGGCGAAACCTACATCATCGAATCCGCCTTCACCGATTCAGGACGCTACACCATCAGGGGTGGGATCTTATCAACAAGTGAATGCCCCATCAAGTGGTAGCGACATCTTCACTGCCTATCAGAGCGAATTAGCAGAGTACAAGACATCACTAGACAGGGCTACTGAAGAAGAATCCGTACTTCAAGCGCGATTAGCTGAGACGGCCGCCTATGCCTATCAACAATTTAATTTTCTGGAGAACACCACTCATCAAGAAATGACATCGATGACTCAACAACTACAGATCCTGAACTCTGAACTACAATCTGCACAACAAGAAGATGAAGGTGCAACCTACAGGATCGAAGAGTTGAAGAGGTATCGAACCATGTCGAATGAAGCAACATCTCATTTGGAATTCAGATATTCTCAACTGCGATCAGAATTCAATGAACAAATGGGACAAGTGAATGCAACATGTGGGTACTGATGCAAATGCTCACATCAATCAACTCAGACTGGAACTAGAGAACGCAGAGATGAATGCGAAGCAAGAAGCTCTAGCAGTCGGCTTTGCCAATGATCGAACATGTGCACTTCACGTCGAAATGCTCGAGGTTGCTAACCAGAACCAGACGATGAAGCACAACATGTCATTGAGTATAAGACGACTGGAGACAGAACTCGACGCCGCTGACACAAGGAGAGAGGAGATCATGAGAGAACTTCGTGGTGACCTTAGATCCGAACACGAACGATATACTGAATGTGAACATCATTTAGCTCTGGAAGAGACTCAGCTTCAGTTGCAATTGGTCCGGAATGAAGGGCTACAATCGCAATTGATGACAACTGAGAACAGACTTGTTGAAGAAACATCCTCTGAAGCGAATGGTGCACGAGATGTGAGGATCATGGGACTACGTTCTGAACTACACATGAAGCAAAGCCTATTGGATCGTATGCAACAACAACTGACTGAATCGAAGAACCAATATCATGAACTTTCGTGCCAACAAGCCAGACAATCATCTCTGAGTGAAGCACCATCACAAGCGCTATATCATGAGATGTACAATCAAGTACGGCGTGAACATGATATCATCAAGAAATCCAAGGAAGAAGTTGATGTTCTATATAGAAAAGCCAGAGCGGAGATCATTGATAATGAGAACCTGATCAAGACTTACCATGATTCATATGAGTCTCTTGGGAGGAAGTATCAGGACGCTTTGGAAAGGATTGACTTCATGAGTACTCATCCAAACGCTACCAGCAACATCTTTGACAATTTGCACAATGAAATCAGTGACAGGGACCAGATGGTTGCTCGACTCAGCACCGAAGTTGAAGCCCAGAGGGAATCTCTTGATCGTGCACACAAGGATGCAGGCCGCTCCATTAGGATGTTGAACGACAGACGACTTGTGATCAAAGGAGCAACTGACTATTCCATTCCTGAAAGTCACCTGACCGAGATGCACCATCTTGCCAATGAGCGCTTCGCTGAGGTAGAAGAGATGTCAAGCACTATCTCTGCACTGAGACTCGAAAACCAAGCCGCTTCATCTTCATTGCAGAACATGCCGGCTGTATTATTTGGAACCTCCAATAATGCTTTGCCTCGAAGTGAATGTGAAGAGAAGTGTGCCAGACTAAAAGCCGAATTGGAAGAGATGAAACGAGAGAAGAATGAAGAAGTTCGAAGTCTTCGAGATGAATTGAAGAAGATGGAAGAACGAAAGGACTACTATAAGAATAACTTCTCTCAAGCTGAAGATCGTGCCAACGATTAAGAACAAGAATATCGAGCAGAAGCCGAAGCCTTCGAAAAGCTCAGGAATGAGTACAACACCAACGTCGTGGAGCTGGAGAACCTTGAGAAGGACAAGGCGAGGTCATCTGTATCCCAAAGGGAGGCGGAAAAGATCACACTCCAACCATGGCCAAAGACTACTGAACTTTCATCCTGGAAGGGAAGTGTCATTCATGAAGTTTGTGTTGCTAGCGGAGATCGCAACTGAGGTGATTGGAAAGCATGGTTGGCTCCTTGTCTTGCAGATCAACCAGACATGGATGCACTAGCCTTGGCTCCCGACATAAGATTTCAATCTATCGATGCCAAACTTTCCAATGCTTTGAGAAAGGTCATTGAAAATGCTGGGGACAAATCCATGCAAGTGAAGTATGAAATGTCCATGAAGAATCAGATGTATGGGAAAAGTGGAGACTTCATCAAAGGACGAGAACTGTTTGCAATGATTCTGGTAAGTTTCAAGTCGCCAGACCATACCGAAGTTCTTTACAACTCCCATCACCTGTACGTATTCAACTATTATGGAGATGACCGGCTTGAAGCTTTCTACAACAAGTGGCTTGACATAGTGTACAACATGAAACAAGATGATCGTCCATCTCTCAACTCACTGCGTGACACCTTATTTCGGAAGATTGAGCATTCAAAGCTTATGCACTTTGATATCAGCCGATATCGAACCTTCGATGAAGGGCATCCTGAAAAGACCTATGATTTCCTGATCACCATGATCAAAGGCTACATAGCACGAGGAAAACAAGAACGACTGCTGAAGGAAAGAGAGCGTGCAGTTAAGATCTCATTGACCTCTACCAAGGCAACACCAGCCTTGGAAGACGCAGTGAAGCCTGCCGCTCCCATCAAGACCAAGAAGGAGAACGAAGCAGCAGCATCATCTACGAGTGATCCTCCTAAGCGACCTAAAGCAAAGGCGAAGAGTGAAGCTGCCTCAGTCCTCCCGACACCTTCTCCGAAATCACATGCCGACAAGAACAACAAGAAAGGCAAAGGTGGGAAGGGTAGATCGTCTTCACCCGTCGATAAGAAGAAGATTTTCTGCAACTACTTCTTCAACAAAGGTGGGTGTAGTAAGGGCGACAAATGTCTATACAGTCATTCTCAGAAGGTCTATGATGCCAAGATGAAAGATAAGAAAGGTA